GTCGTCATCTTTAGTGCGGTGAATGACTGATGGATCCTTTTTTAGATCACTTATTTTAATTCAAATATTTATACTTAGTATCTGGGATAGAAGGGGAAGTGAATTCCCTGTCGGTAATGTACAGGACTTGTCGATAAGACTCGATAATGTAGAATAATCGGTTGGCAAAACAGGTTGCAGCGTAGGTAGTACAGAACACTCTGTTGGTATGATCATAGTTTAGTTCATCACTTTTAGACGAACTAAAAAATACTGTCATGTTGTGTTTTCGTACCAAAACAGTAAAGTTGTTCTTTATTAACTGGTAAACATTTTCATTTCTCTCCTTGGCAATGGGTATTTGACTTGTAGAGTACTTGTTGGTAAAACTAGATTGGGTAGCATTCAGTTGATAAGGTAAATCACTCTACAGATAGAGTAGATCACTCTTGCTAAAGTGAAACGTTTATTTCAATTTTATTCTTAGCACCTTCATCAGTAATAACATTAATAAATCTAAATTTCCATAAAAGTTTCTTTTCGTTCCTCTAGTTTCAAATTTGTAAATTTTCCTTCTTTAAAACACGTTCCCGAGCAAACTCAGGGATTCTTTTCAGAAGAAGGCTCTTCTCTTTGCTCTTTCCTTCTTACTTGGTATGCAAAACGCACCGTGCATACAAGAACGCTCGATTTGAATCGTTCAATTTTTGATGTTCCAAAGAACCAGAAAAAGAACAGGGGGTTTCCCTAGCACCGAGCAATGTAAATTTTCTCATTAAAGAATTTGTTTTCGAAACCGTCATTTATGCAGCTCCGTTATAAGGCTCGAGTCAATCCAGTCGATTCCATTTCTGAAATGTATATTTAGAGCAGGTTCTTTGAAGGACCCATCACCATTAAAAGAAAAAGGGAACCGAGAAATCCTCGACTCCTTTGTTTCTCTTTCAACAACGAAGCTTTCTTTTCTCGCTTCGACGTCTTCAATACGGTCTTTGTTTGTGCCATTTTCCTACCCCCAACCCCTACCCCTACGCTGCGTTAAAAACGCTTTGTTGCGGATTCAAGGAGAGAGGGTGAGTGAAATGAAAGAAATTATTGAGGTATACTTTCCACTCTCGACGCTGTTAGTTTTTATCAAGAAAATTCTAAGACCAAGCAAAAGTTATCGATAACAAGTCCTAGATGAGAATTCATCATCCACTGACGTACCTTAAAACATTTACGGAGTATCCTTTCTTTGACATATTGCATTCGATCGTTACTTTATTAAAGGGGTAGCTTGATATTTCAAGCAGAAAACTATGATGCCTTTATGATTTTCTTCAAAAATATGCACTGACCATATTTACTTGAATAATTTTTTAACGGTGTATATAATGTTAAAGTAAACGCTAAAATTGCCATCCTAATTCTTTATGCTATTATATAAACCTCAGCAAAACATAGAAGTGTTTAAATATTTTACTCTATTCGACATAAACAGTTTTTGGTAAAACAGAAAATAAAATTCTATTTCAGGAGAATTTTAAAAGAAAACTAGCTAGTGATAACTACCCCTTAAATTGCGAACAGTTACTTACTCGTAAGCAAATTACGAAATAAATCAGACACTTCCTCCCAGACTTTCTTAAAGCAGCCATTTATTTCCTCATCTTTTAGCGTTGGGAACGCGACTCACAAGTGGAACGATCGATGTCGCGTCTCAGAAGGACTCCAAACATAAGGAATGTGTTCTGTTGGTGATGTAGAACATTCTGTCGATAATATAGTACGTTCTGTTGGCAATGTAGAACACTCTATCGATAAATTCTTTGACTGACTACAGTTCTACAATACCGGACCTCACAGACAGTTTTCCACATTATCTACACAGTAGTAAATACTAAATTCTTTTTTGTCCAAAATCTTTGTCTAATAGATTCTTTGTCAAAAATTGAAGGAACTTGTTGCTCCTACATACTTTTTCATCTACCTAAAGACTAAATGTAATTCACAGGTGTGTAGATCAATGCCTCTCTCGTCCCATAATTACACTAGACGCTCCACGAAGATTATACACGGCAAAGTCGAACAAATTAGCTTTCACAAATTAAACCTTGCCCTCCCTCGTCCCTCTCGGTCTTCCATCGACGACGAAGTTCGCCTACGGATAGAATTTACAGGAATTCGCTCCGTATATCGATGGTCTATAAAACTTGGCCCGATAGAGGATACCCCTACGACTTCTGGAAAATTTACTGGACACGATGTCCTTCGCCGCTCCACTCCAGGATACTTCTTAGTGGGATCCACAGGAGGATCCCTTTCCCGCTAGGAAGATACGAGCGTGGACATTGTTCGAGACCTCGTTAAAGTTTCAGAATACGAGGGAAAGGGTAGCCCGTTCGTTCCACGAGCCGAGGAAGTTTCACGGAGGAAAACCGGAATACGTTAATGCGATGGTTTTCATCGACGGACGGGATTGTATTTTTTAACATGCTGCCGAGTTTTCTTCGGTTCGACATGATAATTACACGAGTGAGACCGCGGGCTTTTGTGGCTTTCTCAGGGACGTGCTCGAGGATTCTTTCATTGAATTACTAAGAGGACTCTGAAAGACTTCTTTTCGATGCTGAGAAGTCCATATTTTGTTTTCAAACAATTCCTGGTTGGTCAAAGTGAGCTGTATTAATTTGCACATATTTAGGTCAATAAGGAATGTATTTTCATTTGGCCAGTTTAATTGCTGATTACATGAATTGTGTACTTTCGAATAGTATCATGTATTACTAAAATGTACGTTTAACACATTTCTTGATGCCGAGGTATTGTTTTTGATATGCTAACAGTTTCCACAGCAACATTTTCCAAATCAATAAATAAAGACTTATATTACACTAAAGTGACAACGATGAAAAATGTTCTGATAATCCACAAATCATTTTCTCTATTTTCTATTTCTATGTCCGCAGCAAACGTACCCTAAGAGACATCGTTTAGGACCCTCGTCCATTACTAGAATCGAAGTAGCCTGGCGTTACAGGCTCACTTACGGCCTGTTTTATCCGCGCTAAATCTCGGATCTCGATTATAGTTACGAGTATAGACCAAACGGCGTTCGCGCTTAACGATGTCGTTTCCACCGTGTAACTCATTGCAGGATTAATGCAATTACTGTGAGGGCGAGAGAGGGGGGGGGGAGGGAGACAGATCAACGTATCAGACACTTCTCAAGGGCAATAAAGGTACCCTTCTTATTCGTTGATTAGACCCCATCGCCAACTTGTTGCACTTTCCGCTCGTCTCTGCTCCCTTTCTTCTTCTTTTTTTCATTCTCGATGGGCGTTTGCCGAGAATGTCGTGAAAACGACACGCAGTCCGCGATAATGGTTAACTTGGCCACGGTTGATGAACGTTTACGGCCACCTTCGCACGTTTATTCCGTGTCTGTTTCATGGAACGTGTCACGAGCGCGATTCAAATGACTTCCTTGGGTTTTAGTTGGAAAATTTATGAGACAGGAGCCAGACAGGTTGACAGGATAAATATACTCTAGCTGACGTTCCTCGCCGTTTGTTAACAACACCTTTTTATGTAGTTATTTAGTTTGAACATCAGTGTTTTTTATTTACAAATGAATGTATCGGATTTAATAGTTTTCTTTACTCGCCGTAGAATTATTTGAGACCCGTTGTTAAGAATGTAGAAGTCTGTCGATAACACAGGACGCTCTGTAGGTCGATAAATCAGGTCCATCTTTTGATAACGTAGAACGATCCATCGGTAATTTCTTCGATCAATTAGAGTTCTACGTTACCAAGCCTCACTGACGTTGCCTACACAATACTGTACCTCATCGACTACAATCTGTTATTTGTAATACATAGTTAAGATTCTTTCATGATAAATTTTTGATTATTATATTCTTCAATTATGTCACGATTGCAATAATGTATTGGTTCGAAATTTAAGCAACTCGTTGCTTCAGTGTACGTTTGTTATCTGCCTCCTGACATTAAACGTTTTTCCGACTATAACGACGCGTGGGTTGAGGTATTCTTCTGGGATCGCACCGAGCTCTTCGAAGAAGGTCCAAGAGCGCGTTAAGTGTACGTTTCGCTCTCGTCGATGGCATTACACCGGATATGGAGCAAATGGGGTGGAGTGAGAAGTCTTTAGCCGTGGAAACGGTCGTAAGGCTGTCACGCTGGGGATGAACTTAGATGTGCCTCGCAGATAGGAAGCGGAATGTGCCTGTCGCTGTACGGGATTTCTGGGCTAGAGAAGATCCTCTATATAGATAGCCACATAATTGGGTCGACATAATTTTCTGCGTTCGACACGGGGACCGAGTGATCAGATTCCTGGCATTTTCCGTCCCTTGATGATAGATTAGAAAATGGTATCGCGATGTTGCACGCTGAGAAGATGGATTCCTTCGGTCCGGAAGCTTCATATTAATTTACTTCTTATTCATTATTTTATATATTTTAACAATTTACACAATGTTATGGCTTTTATAAAAATTTATGAAAGTATAACTGTTAGATTAGTGAGGATTTGTCGATGAAAATAAGACATAACACGACCCCAATCGGACTACTTGCAATTAAATGTATTGTGTGAAGAATGAAAAACCCGACATAGGTCAAGAACATTGCATGGTACCACAATTATTATCAAATATGAACGGTATTGAGCTTTTTACGTTCTCTTGTAGCCCTAAAGAAACCTGATTGGAATGATAGACCTAATACGATTCATACGTCATGAGTCTGATCCTTTATTCTGGCAACAATACGTGAATAACTAAAAGTATTAAAAAAATGGCCATGTTTGGGCTTATTTTCATCGAAAAATCGTCACCAAACCATCTATAATAATCTGAAAAACCATTAAAATATATAAAAATACAAGAGCTTTTGAATTAATCTTCCTAAATATAATGTTAATCATTCGTTCCACGTTTCCACTCTGGTACTATAATAAATCTCTGACGACTACCACAGCATGGGTCTTAGCAGACGGTTTCTCTGTTACAGGAACGGACACATGCTGACGCATCGGAACAAGAAGCCGTACGAGTGCAAAGCGGAAGGATGCGGCAAGTCGTACTGCGACGCGAGAAGTTTAAGGAGGCACACGGAGAACCACCACGCTGGTAGCAAGGTAAACGAAAGCGTCAGTCCTAGCAGTCCCACAACCGGTCCCCATACTCCGAACACGCCAGGAAGCAATCCCAGCACACCTAGCACACCTGGTGCGACATCGACGCCAAATGGCCACGGACATCCAGCCTTGAAGCAACTGCTCGCCACTGAGCCCACGCAGGCGCAGCAGCAAAAGGTAAGTCACTGAAATTGTGGCAATTTTAACTACGATTATTATTACGATTATTATTAAACAATATTAGTGTCAACGTTATTCAAGTTAAACAGCAATCCTTTAAAAATGGAATGGAATTTCCACAAGAAATATATCGAATATAATTTTAGTATTAATATCACTTCCATACAATTTTAATACAAATTGACACAAGTAAGGGTAAAAGCAAAGGTTTCCTTAAATGGACCTGCTGGATTTTGTTTCATGTTACCAAGCAATCTTGATGGACACTCTTTTCACATTAAATTATAATCATTTGCACTCTTATTTAAAATTAAAGACTTTTATGCATTCCATACCATTTGCACTTAATTAAAACAAAAAATCCTAAAGCCTGGGTCCACAATAATTAGCATTCGATGACGGGGAAACGAGGAGTAGTCGCGTTTTTGTAATCGTCAGATATTAGAAACCGATCGTAAGGAATTCCCTCGAGCGCGATACGCCGTCATCGGCAGAACGTCCATCGCAGTAATTTGATCCAAAAGCTTGCCATGGTTCACTCGATATGTCGTGACACCGTTTTGTCGAAATTGCCCTGATATTGGTTCGTCTAAGATAGGTTTAAAGGCTTACAGCACAACCTGCCGGATGAGTCAACGCCGGATCGGAAGATCCAGCGACGGTAAGAGGATTACGTGGATCTTTGGCGATCGTCGAGTATGTTACGCAACCTCTAACTGCGCCCTCATTAATTTTTATACGTCACTCGCAGTCTTCAATTTGTCGTGGCCCCGATCGAGCTGGCTCGATAACAGGATTCCAGGAATTATACTTGTTCCCCGCGAGAGGCCACCTTCAGGATTACGGTTATTGCTGGTAATTCTTTAATAACGTCGTTTCGGATGCTACTCGATTGATCCGCTTGCGGTAATTATACGAAATCCAAGGGAATTTAGTGTAATATTAAATAATGTTCTCTGTCGATTCACCAGGCCACAAAGTGAAGGGATTCTTGAAACGATCTTTGGGATTTTGTTTTTTATAAACAAAGTACGCGTGTTAATCGTGGTGGACAATCTTTCACGTTTGAAAATATGACACATGTCACATCATTTTTGTTTTACAAACAAACAAGATATAAAGCACTTCTTGGAAATCTTTTATTCAGTCTCAGAATATAGTAATCAATGACGAAGTTCTTTTGCTCTTTCATAAAAATTTGTACGAGTAATATTTTAATTTGTTGATACTAACGTGCCAATTTTGCAACGTCTGATATTTAATGCAATTGTCAATGCATAACCGGTAACCACTGCTGACTGAGTTTCATCAAACTCTCACTACAGCCGCGGCTGGGCTGATTATTTGCCAACCTAGACTACTGTTGGTGGTCCTCGCTACTGTTTACTACTGGAAACGATGGCTGACTAATACGACCTGTTTCTACTGCGTTAATAATGGTCCGCAATATCAACACTGCTCGTCGAGGATGCTGTATTACTGCATTCTTGATAATTATGCGCTCTAATTGTTTGCATTGCGTTCTGAACGTGTCGTGCGAAATAATACCGTCTCTTAACAACGTCATAATTAAATTCTCTTAACGTTATCATCGGTTCTCCTTCCTACATCGAGTTATTTGGAAACAAACGTTTCGAAGCTGAGCTTCGAACTTTATTTGGGGAAACCTAGCTGACAATCGAAATATGGGGAAACAGTTGTTGGAATATTACCTTTGTTGGCTTATTTAAAAGTTTAAATGATCAGATATTTCATTTCCAACTTTAAAGGTCAAACCCTAAACATGAATATGTAATACAAACAAATACGTCTGTAGTATACCGTAATGGTCTACTTGCTTGCGATTTCAATTGATTCTAAGAAAAAATACCCAACTTGTGCGTCGCATGTTTATAATTCAGGTTTTTCAATTATTATCTGAGGCACCACTGTCAGTGGGAACACTCGAATTAATTTGTGAATACAAGGAGGAATCAATTTGTTCGACAGGGTAAATTCTCTACCCGCGTTTTGCATATTGATAATCGAGGCTGTCAATTTTCGAGCATTGCGTGGGACACAACTGTCTTTCGGTTTTCGCGTTTCCACGAGCACTTCCAACCGAACCCCCGGCAACCAGCAATTATCGGTTCCGAATTGACGCAACCAGAATCTCCGTCGCGTGGAAACGAAGTGGTAACCCGACCATGAACCGCAATATTCAGCCCCCTGATCTAGTCACTCGTTACTCCCACGCGCAAGTTAAAACATCCCGTCCAGATATTCCACAACACCCTTATAGCTGCCCTTCCACACCTTCTGTTAGCTCAGTACTTTAAATAAAGTGCATTTTTGTCTGTATATTACTCAATTATGACAAAATTTGAAGTGTTTTTAATAGGATAATTAAATTAAAAATTTAAACCATATGACGTAATGATATTCATGCCTTGTAAGAGAGTTTGGTGGGGCACGCGTTATGAATTGTTGAATATCTCGCTTGCTAATACTTTTATTGTAGAAATGTATAAAACAGAAGTTATTGGAAATTAAATTTGGTGACTGTTTTGTTCTATACACATTTTTGGTACAGTTAATGATAATCGAGATATCCGATACTTTTCACGAAAAAAGTAAGGGTTGTTTTGCCAGTACTCGACATCGAGGAACCCACTATAAAATGTACGATATCTCGATCACCATTCCTCCAACGATTAAAATATACACAACAAAAGGCGTCACAAATTAAATTTGGAGTCTTTTTACTTTATACATACTTTCAGTAGAATCAATTTTAATCAAGATACCAGTTTGTTTCGAAAGGAAAGTGTCGCTACAGTTTTTGGAGCCAAACCAGTATATCACATCACACCTGTCGGGAAGCACCTACGCAAGGGTTATATCTATTATTATTATTTCTTGCAACTTTGGGAAACCTAGACCATTGTTGAACCGTGAAACGGCGCGAAGGCAAAACGAATTGCTCGCGAGAAATCGAGGAATCCGTGGGGTGGTGAAGGTCGAAGAGTGGCGAGTTTGCGTCCACCCTTCCTCATCTCGTTCGGATCAAGCCCGCTGGTCGCTGGGGGTCGGCTTCCAGGCCTGGTGGAAATTAGTTCTCGGCTGTAGAGCATGGAATTATTGCTGCTTTCAAAGTCTCTCGAGCTCGAGGCTCGCCGCGCTTGCATCTGGGGTTCGGGGCCGCGGAGAAAACACAAAGAAAAGAAAGAGGAAGGCGAGGGATAGACAGGGCGGGCGGTTGAGAACGTGTACGGACGCGTGTTGGGGTGAAAGGGAGTCGAAGAACGGATACGGGACGAGGATGAAGCGAGGGTAGTTAAACCGAGACTACAAATCTACGATATTGAGTTAGAAGTAAGGCGAACCCTTGAAGCGAGGCTAATAAAATTTGATGACCGGGAACTTCGTAATGAGAATGAGACGCGGAAAGAGGTGGAACCGTGGGATGATAGTTTGGTGGCGAGGGAGGGCTGGTCGGACCAACCGACTATGAAAACTTCTCAGACGCAACGACTTTGTGATTTATGATATTTCAGCGGACGTCGAAGGTCCTGAGTTCCTAGACTCTCATACACCGGCGAATGCAGCGGCTTTCAAAAATGAGCAGAATTAATTACCTTTAAAGTTTAATTCTGTTTTTATTATTGTGTCGTAAGACACTTGGAGGTTTTCTTTCAAGGGTAAATCGTGTTAACACTTTATTCCTTTTTATTGCAGTATTTAGTTATTCGAATTTATTTACTGTGTTGATGGTTGTCTACTTACAATGTTCAGTGTTTGGTAACAGACTTGGCTTTCAATGTACCTAGTAACAGTATGGAGGAATTATTGTCAGCCTAGATTGGCATATGCCACTGTAGAAAATTCTTTTTTGAATTAAAGTCTGCTTCTAAATAGCCCGGTAGATGAAGTGTTAAAATTTCAGTTACGTGACGTCACAAAAATCTTGCCTTATAGGGGAGTTGTTTGGGGTACCAACTATGAAATATACTATATCTCGTTTGCTATTGCTTTTAGAGTAAAATTGTATATAACGAAAGTTGTTGGAAATAAAATTTACGTACGAATTTGTTCCATACAAATTTGTAATAAAATCTATAGTAATCGAGATAATAATTTTACTTAATAAAAGCCAGGACATTTATCGCAGACCTTCAAATACACAACAGAACTTTCCTCCCTCAATTCGGGTCTTCGAAGGACTAATTTATCTTCCAGAACAAATTTTTTTCAAGCTTTTTATTCTTCCTCCAGCACAAAAATTCAAATAAAAGTTACAGTAACCGGCGTTCCCCATTAACATTTAAAATGACGCGAGTGGTATTCTCTCGTCTTCCATCGCGGTCCGCTATTTCACACGATTTTGAACTACGAACACGAGAGGCTAACTTTTTTTTTTTAAAAACTTCTGAAAAGCTCGTTGCTCATTTTATTTGTTCGAGCACAATGGCGGGTACAAATGCCGAGCGGCTGACGCGCGAAGTAGAAAAATACTACCAGAGCTGGAAAGGTTTCTCTATAAACACAGTGCACCGGTGCCAAGGAAAAGGTCAGTTTATGCACCGTGAATGTTTCAACGTAAAAACGTTAAACTGTCCTTATTAAAAGTGCCCCCGTGACGCTCGAGAGAACATTAACTGCAACTACTTTCATATTTGAGTGTTGTCATACGCGGAACGACGTAAAACGGAAGGAATGTTTTTATGAGGTATTTTGCAGGATAAAGTTCTTCAATTAAAATAACGTAAAACATGAAATATCGGCGACGAGCGATCGTGCAAGTTTCTTTTTTGTTTATATATTCTTCGTGTTAAAATTCATAGGACTGAAATAGTGGACTGAATAGAATACAAATTTAATTAGTAATTTTATTACAATTAGTAGCTAGACTAACAATCAATCAATCGTTCATCTTTTATTTGTTATTAGGAATTTTGTCCATAGTTGCTCCGTTTTTGTGGTTTATGGTATGCCTGTATATGTGCCACATAGGTGAC